GTATTCTGGCTGTGCCCCCTCCCAGTTTCTTGTGCACCTGGCACAGCATGGGAAGCTGAAAAGTCCTTGACTAGCATAAGCAGTACTTAGCAACAACTAAACCATCAGTGTGTTATTAGCATTATTCTCCTACTAAATCCAAAACACAGCACTATGCCTGCTACTAGGAAGAAAATTAACTCTCTCCCAGCCAAAACCAGGACAGCAATGTACACAGGCATCAACATGTTTATAGAGTAGTGATTTTATTTTCATTAGGGAGTTTATTGGCATAAGCTCATTAACAAAAAATCACCCAGGGTTAGACCAGCAGCAGGCTGTGTTGGGTCAGACTTACAGTTTGGGCTTTTTCTGCAGTGGAAAGTGTGGACAGATACAGGATGAAGGGTTATTCATGGTTGTTATAACTGTGCCAGCAAAAGTCCTGCCATGCAGTTTCAGGTACTGGCATTTTTTTGCTATTTCAGTAATAAAAGTTGCGTACATAATAAGCAACACTTTATCAGTACTGTACAGGTCAGATCTCATGCTCCGTGGGCAGCGCTCCCGCTGAAGACAATTCTGAGTGCTGAATTTATCAAGTATACACTGTAGTCTGAATAGAAGTTGCAGAACCTGGCTCTCATCTAAAAGGCTAAAAAGGCTAAGCTAAGATTTCAGTGGTTAAATACCTGATGCTGATACTGCTTACATTGGTATGAGTAACAGGGAATGCCAACAGCAGTCATGTGCCATTAAATGCAACAGGCTTGTATCAGTGCCAGGTCGAGTTGAGTGAGATCATGATCAAGTCCTTGAAGCTGCTGTGCCTGGATTGGGAAATCAGTCTGGGACCAGGCAAAAGAGAGATTTCGTCTGGCTGGGCTCAGAGTCCGTGGTGTAGTTGTCTACCTGGGAGCAGCCTGGGAAAGCTCCCGCTGTACCCTGGTTGGTGCGGTCAGGGGGCCCCGGGCAGTACACCCTAAACAGCACACCTGAAAGTGGCACCTAGAGCTGAGCCGAGTTACCTAAAAATAGCTGTCAAGTGCAGTGAGGGGCAGGTATCCAAGACAGCTGCACGCAGCTGGAAAGCACCTTGTGGGGAAGCTGCACCTTGCCGGAGCAAGAGATGGGGACCAAGCAGGGTTCCCCACAGTGTTGGGGAACATGGTTGTAGTGCCATCTGCGTCTACCTGCACTCAGGTTTGGCACCTGATTCCTGCCCGTAGCGCTGTGTAGGCTTGGCTGACACTCTTCTTTGGGGGCTCAATTCAATTGCCTGAACATAAGCACCCAGGGCTGCTGGAAGTGCTCTGACTGGTTCCCCCTCGTTGCCAGGGGCTGCTTCTGGATGGCCCACACCTCCCGTAGGTCCTATGTCATACTTGTGTGATGCATTGTATGTGGAGATGTTTTAGAACCCTTAGGACATTTGAGATGGCCCTGGGTGCCTATGTTCAGGCAACAGAATCTCACCCCACATTTCAACAGGCTACAATGACAGCTTTAACATGTAGCTAACATACAGACACCTCCATTGCAGACGTCAAAATTTAGATGTGGGAGTCGGGAGCTGAATCCCACCCTAAGAGTGACATATTACATGGCAACAACAGCAAATAAAAGTGTAGCCTGGATCAAAGTAAATGTTTATTTTAAATGGTTGTATTTGTAGATATACTGCTGTCCGGAAAAAGGAAAATTATTGAAATACAACAATTTCACTAATATGCTGTTGTAGGAATTTAGCTGTGCAGATAAAATTAATTCATTTGCATCAGTATAAATAAGTAGAGCTGTTTGTGTTTGCAATCTCAGAAGAAACCTAACTTAGGATGCAGCCTAAAAGACAAGATGAATAATCTTGATTGCTAGCATTGGTGATCCTGTCCTGTTGCTAGACTAGCAGGTGTGAATTTCAGCAAATCCAATGTGGATTCAGCTTAGACCTTTACTTCTCAGAAATCTTGAAATTCCATGAATTTTTTTGACCAACACTTATAATGCATGAATCAGTGCATGACATTTTGATTTTCATCCTATATGAAGTGCCGTGTATATCTCTACTCATATCTATTGATGTTACCGATAATAATTGTAGAACATAAACCTGATTTCACTTATAAGGGATTAATCAAGAGAAGGTAATTTGCGGTCAGTGGTGCTGCCAGTATAAAGCCAATGAGAAGCGGAACAAACATGTTTCCTCAGAGTTTTTTAATTGATGTCAAGAATTACACTTAAGTGACTGCAATACTGGAGCCTGAGAGTTTTGTGCTGGATATTTTATTCCTACTAGTAAGTGGTCACTTGATCAGGTCCTGCTTGAGTAGGTCACTTAGAGGAATGTGAGGTTGTCTGTCTGGTTTCCTCTGATTTTTGCTATGAGCAGATTATGTTTTCTGTTTTATTAGTATTCTTCAATGCAGTTTATAGAACTAAGCCTAAAAATACACGTCCTTCAGCATTGTTTATTGCGCAGCAGAGATTAATCTTGCTGTCATTTGGATCACTACTGTAGGCGGAGTGCTGCAGGAGAGCAGTCCTCTCTTTGCAAATATTATTGCTCAAGATAAGGGTGTAAAAAGCAGATTAGGAGATGACATGTGACGTGTCTTTCCCTCAGTCTAAAAGTACAGGATCATGGGATGAACTTCGCCTGACTGGTTACACAGAGTGTGTGCTCACATTTGTAGCTCTTACAGACAAGGCTGCAAAACAAAGACATAAAATGAATCTCATGAGCTCCTTTCTCAGTCACTGCATATGTGGAGACCCTTTACCTCTGTCCGATTCTGAGGTAAGAACCTTATTTAACCTGTGATTTTGCTGCTCTGACCTCAGAGGGGCTGGTTTAAGGGACAGCTTTGCTGAAGCCAGGGAGTCACTCTCTACTGAATTGCTTGTACTATTAAAACTGGTCCTGAGTTAAAATCTGCAGAGAAGCTGAAGCATGCTTGAATGACAGGTGTGATGCCATAGAAATCAGAATTTACGCAAGTGCTCTATTTAGAATAATTTCATGCTGTAAGTGAAATAATTGAATGTAGAGCAGTGTATGACTGATAATTTTTCGTACCTTAATTGCAGTAATCGTGTTAAAATGCTGACTGTTTAATAACTCTGCCTACTAGCTGAAGTGGTTTCATACAGTGAAATCTGTCTTGAGCTGTCTTTCAAATAAAATCTGCCCACTGTATCAGGTGGCCTTCTAAAAAAGCCTCATTGCAGTTGTACTGGCCTGGTTGAAAATGGTAGCTGGAGAAGAAAGTGACAGAAGATAAGTCCTCTTTCACAGGCATCATTGTAAAAGGCTGATTCTAGGCTGCATGTTTGCTTTGAATATGCAATACCTGAAATGCCTTCATCTGGTCTGAAACAGATGAACAAAATGTAGCCAGAGACAGACAAAATGATGCCTCTCTTTTTTGGAATACTCACTAGCTTTGAACATCATCAAAAATGCACTTTGGTAGTCTAAAGATATCCTAGTAAAGAAGTAAGCTGATTTTTTTTCCAAAAAAAGTCAGAATTAGTTCATAATTTGTATGAGAACTTGGGGCAAGGTTCACTTGTTCAGCAGTGCTTTGGAGTTCACATTCACTCCATCAGGCGTTCATGCAAACTGCCACCCAGCCCAGGAACACCCATCTTCCTCTCTGTTTCTTTTCTGTTCTTTATAGAGGAGCCAGGAAAAGCCAAGGAAACACTGACAATTTTGAAATTTGAGGGAAAAGTTAATATAAATTTTTATGTGCAGTATTTTTTAAATAAAAATAAAAGCTGCAGGGGTTTTGCTAGAAAAGTTTACAGCAGTATTACACCACATGCACTGAAATCCTTAAAAGTGTTCCCTCTAACAAGTATTTCAGTTGAGGTTATTTTATTTCCAAACTTGCAGTACCAGTGCAATTATGATACCTGTAGGCATTAACCTCCGAGAGCCAGATGTGCTGTTAAATAGGAAGAACGTGCTGATTTTCCAAGCTTCCTCTCTCAAAACATCAGTTTTTTCCTGTATTTGTCTTACAATGTGTCTGGTCCTACTCCGTATGACTGTAACCTCCTTGAACATAGAGAAAAATAGCTTCTCCCTTCCAAACTGGATGAGCTCACTCACCCAATTAGCACATGACTGCAGGCTCTCTAGATCTGACCCAAGTGAGAGTGTGGGAGTGAGTGGTAGGAAGGGGTGCGACTGCCAGTTTTGGTATCTGCTTACAGTTACATGGGATTGGCAAGTAGTTGAACTGCAGCCTTAGTGTTTACTTTCATCACTGAATAGAGGTAAAGCAGAGGAGTATCATGGAATAACAGAATGGTTGGCTTTGGAAGGGGGACCTTCAAAGATCATCTAGTCCAACCACCCTGCCATGGGCAGGGACATCTTTCACTAGATCAGGTTGCTCAAAACCCTGTCCAGCCTGATCTTGAACACTTCCAGGGATGGGGCATCCACAACTTCTCCAGGCAACCTGTTGCAGTGTCTCACCACCACGCTCATTGTAAAGAATTTGTTCCTTATATCTGATCTAAATCTACCCGTTTACAGTTTGAAACCATTGCCCTTTGTGCTGTCACTACAGGCCTTGGTAGAAAGTCCAGAAACACAGTGTGCTGGTTGAATTATTTTTACTGGTGTTAATGTAGTATCCTATTTGTGCACAGGAACAAATCTTGTGAGTGTCAGAGCTGTCTTTCTAAGACATTATTCAGTGAATTCAGTGTTTATGATAGGGCCTGTCTCTACTGCTGAGGTAATAGGTGAGTTTTTAGTGTTACTAGTCATGTTTGCCTAAGAGGTGCTGATTGTTGGGTGTTAACCTTACTCAGCATAAGCATCATGATGTCTTTCCTTTGCAAAGTTACTCTCTTCCTGAATTGTTAGTTGTATTTATTGTATTTATTATGGTAACACTTTCCTTTTAGCAATGTTAAGTTGATCTGCCATATGAAAATCTCACAAATGATTAAGTGTCAGAAAATTCTGTGGCTTATTTAACTTATTCACATTTAAAAAGGTTGTTTCTGATGACCACTGGAAGAGGTCCCCATCCCAGGATGAAGAAAAGACAGACACACAAAAAGTCACACCCAGGAGATGGGGCTCTGGAAAAAGATCTCGTCCCAGACCTCTCTCAGACTATGGCCAAATGTCGATCAGAAGTTTCTCTATACCAGAAGATGCAGTTGCGGTGGAGTCTCAGAAGACAGACTGCACGGATGGAGAAAATCAACCAGGACTGACTTCTGTCGGATCTGTGGTCCAAAGCAATACAGTAGGCTACCACAGAGGGCGAAAAAGAAGACCCATCTCTGTAATAGGTGGGGTCAATTTCTATGGAAGTGGTCCCACAGAAGAAATAGAAGGTCTGCTGACACAAGTAAGATAAGAGATGTGCTCTCTGCAAACTGCAAAAGACCCTTTCACTTCCTTGTCTCTATCTTCAGCCTAGAAAATAGAATGGATGCTTCCTTCTCTTCCTTCCCTTTTGTCAAGCTGACATCGTGTACTTACAATTCTGCTTTCCTGGTCACTAATTACTTTGTCTTGTTGTTAAAAAACAAACCAGCATGGAATAAAACTGATACTGACTTTGGGATAATCTTTTATGTATTGTAAATTAACCTTATTTCTTTCTTGGAATGGTTGTTATGTCTCATATTGGTGTATAAAAGCTGATTTGTGTGTAATACAGCTGTGTGTTTAGTCACCTTACAGGGTGTAGGGCCTGAGGCACAGTGGGGTGCAAACAGTATGATAGTAACACATTATTTATTGATCATTTCAAATTCTCCAAAAGCAGGCCTATTCAAAACCTGTGGCATTAGCTGTGGTGTTCAAAATCTTGGTATTGGCATAGCAACGATATTTAAAACTAATAAGGAAGTAGCTTTAGAAACTTGGTAATAAGTTAAGGAATTAATGAAATAGAGAAGGAATCTAAGAAAACTGTGAATATGAAAAAAATCCCACCCTGCTTATGTATTACTAAACTGACCTGATGGAATGTAGGAAGCCTGTAGGAAAACAGCGAGTGGTTGAGTTAGTACTCAAGCAGTACCTATATACTTATTTGCCATATTTGTTGGCTTAGGTAAGAGACTGAGAAATAAAAAACTTCTGAAAGATAAAAATAGCTCCTTTTTCCTGGAGGTAGTCCTGAGCGGGTACGATGTGTAGAGAAACTTACTGTTCTGATGGTAGTGGTGGCCCCATCTTGTAGTTGGTTACAGAGCTTCAGGCTCATGGGCTTTTGTAATACTGCACTGATCAGGTGTGTGCCACTTTCCAGAAAAGCTGGAGGACTCCTACCTAAAGCAGTTGTCAAGCTGATAAAGCAACAGAAAAAAGGAATAGTATTTACAGCCTCAAAAAATGTGATTTCAGTGGTTCTTAATGGAATTTGAATCTTCTTAATCTTTCTCACGCTACTTGATCTCCTGCTGGCAGGTTCAATGCAGTATCATTTATGAGTACCGTACTCCCCCGACTGAAATCAAATGCTGAAACAATGGCAGGATTTTCAGTCTCCTGTGAAAAGCAATTTTTAACATGAACATTGTTATTCTATATTGTACATTTTTTCTTTATAAATCCTTGATGAAAAAATGCATCTTGAAGCAAAACTCCAACGGAAACCGATGAACCTTTTACCCAGGCAAAGGCTATAGTTTCAAACCCTACATAATTAGGATATTTTAAAATTCATTTTATCACTACTTAGCTTGGAGGAAAAAAAAAAGAGGAAAATTACTGTTATAAATTCTAGGCTATCTTAGTCAAGAATAATAGATGGATTTCAAGGGATAATAAGTATTGGCAATCCTTGCTGTACCATGGAAGTGATTTAACACTCTCCAAACCCTTCATTTACTGCTGAAACCAAATTGATCTCTCTTCAAACCTTGCTCACATCAGTTTATTAATGGAGGAACATGCATCAAGGCAGCTATTTGAGTTGACTCCTTCCATGCTCCGATGCTGCCATGAGGGCTGGCTGGGGTTAAACAAGCACATTGCTGGATCGCTGTGGTCGAGACCAAAACTATGGAGCATTCCCAACGGGGACACATTTTTAACCCAAATGGTGGCCTTCCCAGGCCTGCCACTGAGTAACAGCACATCCTTGTCTGTCTGGGGAAGGGATCTGGGCTGAAGCCTTAGAAGAAAATTTTAGTTGCCCGGAAATAAATAGCTTTGTTGCTTAATCAGCCAGTTATTTGCATATAGTAATTACCATCACTTCTATTAGCTATTTGATGCAATATATTGGACTTACTCTTTGTGGTGTTACTCAGTGACAGGATCCTGGTATATTGCTAAAGCACTGAAGCTTTAGGTTTAAAGATCAAGTTGTAGTTAAATCATATTCAATACACACAGTGGTTTTTGGCAGTCATATTAGAAAGTAAATTTGTAGCTGGAATGTAAAAAAGGATTAATGAAGCAGGAATACATGTGCTAGAAGTATTTTATGTGGGGCTTTCAAAGACTGATCTTCACCTTGCTGGTTTTTTTTTTTTTTTTGTAAAAGCTTTGAAAACCTATGGGAATATTTGCAAAGTGTAATGCTAATTCCTTCTTTGTTGTGTTTTGTTTTGGTCTGAGAGCTTAGGTGTGAGAAAATGTTTTCAAACAATACTAAATCATTGGCTGCATAACAGAGTGTCAAGAGATCATAAAAAACCAACCCTGATCTTTCAGATTACTTGACAGAAGGGCCTATGACCAGTAAGAGCTGAGAGATAAGAGCAGATGTAAAGACGAGTTTCTCTGAAGTTCAGATGCTGAGGTCTGGCCGTTTAATGTTGAATGTTTGTGCAAGGCCATTCAGCCTGGCTAATGTGGCGTTGTTCAGGGACGACATAAAATTAGAATCAATTTGCAAATAAAACAGGGGTAGGTTCTCTAATCATAATTAAGCAAATGAATGATTTAACTAAAGAAAATGTCTTCTAGATAAAGTTACGAGTAAAATCAATCTTACGTCTTTTTTTACCTCATTAAAATGAGACTCTTGGGATCTTCAGAGCAGAGGATTATTTATACAATTGTTTTTGTCTTGTAAACTATGTTTATTTTACTTAAAAGCAATACATTTATTTGAAGAAAGCAAGCGTCCCAGGAAATGAACACAACTTCCGACTGTAGCATTTCTGGTCATTGCGCTTTGAGTTTCCCTGCTGATGTGTGTTTACAATGCCAGCTGGCATTGCACAGGCTGTTCTCAAAGCAGTTAGGTCCCAGAGCGTTTGGGCATGGAGTATTACAAGATGAAAATTACAGAGCATGTCTGATCATAACAGAAGGCTAAGGAGTTTTTAATGTAACAGAGAACTGCAACATAATGAAATACTTTCTGTGATGCTGGTGGATATGGTATGCAGTGTTTAAGCAATGTCACTTCAAAGTAGGGAATTTTACTGCCCCTGTAATTAGCTGGACTATCTGAAGAAACCTTACTTCATACCTGAGTTTTGCTCAGTTGGACTTGCTGGTAGCTTTACTAATACTGGATTTTCCTGTTTTCTCTGTAGCCTGTAACACGGCCACCTATTCCAGCACACCAGGTACCCCCTTACAAAGCTGTTTCAGCCAGGTTCCGGCCACTCACCTTTTCACAAAGTACCCCCATCGGCTTGGACCGGGTTGGACGAAGGCAGCAGATGAGAACATCTAATGGTAAGACAGACAAGTCTTTTTAACTTTCTAGATCTCAACTTCATACCCCAGCTTGGTCAGGAGGCAGATTACAGTGTGATACACAAAAGAGTGCAAACCAACTCAGTGACAAAGTAGTAGTACCCAGCTAAGTTGCTTTGTTTTATGACTTTCTCATTAGTAGCTTCTCCTGCTGTGTACATGTAAAACTTGTTTTTTGCATTTACTATGGTTTATTCTTCTGTACTGGTTACACTCCTGTATTTTTCACTCTCTATTCACATACTTGCCTGAAGATAATAATAGAATATGAAGTAAGGTCTAATATGCTTGAGTTCATACCCAAACCATAGTTACACCACACATATATTTTCAATTTTCTGTTTGCCATGCATTCACCTTAATTACCTAGATAGTCAAGACTTAAATTATTAAGCAGCTTTGTTTCAGAGAACTGTATGCAGTTGCAGTTGCTTCCTCAGTGGTGAGTGTAGCCCAACCAGGTTTCTAGGACATGATGGGCAGATTCTTGGAAAAGATGGCCTTTTCGGAAGCAGTACCCTTTATCAGACTCTCTGATATACCCTGTGTATTTTTTCTGTAATTGTTTACTATTAGCATGCAATGCTATCTTGAGTTAATAGAAAGTCGTATCTAGTAGTAGTGGAACATTTCTTGGTAGGTGGGACCAGAAGAACCTGGATTTATACCATTTGTGTTCTTTCAGACCACTTTATATTCTCCAGTGTTAATAGTGAACAAAACACTGGGAACCTTCACTCTGCCTCTCTGTGGAGAGAATAAGTAAAGGTGTCTGGATCAGGGCTTGCCATGACTGAAGTAGGAAAGTTACCAAATAGCATTTTCAATGTTTCTTTATTAAAATGACATATGTTTATTAGTCAGTACTTGGTTTTTATGGTTCTAAGCTAGGTTTTATCTGCAATGAAATCCAAATTCTGCTCAAAAAATCCCTCAACTACAAATTAATTTATATAAGAACATTTTAAAACTGCATTTTCCAGTCTTCAATAAAACATGACAGTTTTCTTCAGAAGGTGCTCTCCAAGGAACAGAGTTGAGAATTTCTAACTATAGCAATGAGGTACATTTTATATTCTATATTAGTATTCTTCTTTTAATTTATATTGTAGTAAAATATTGGGAACTATTTTAAAACCCATGTCTGGCGTGTGTCTTTGCTGTTATGTACCTCAGTATACTTAATCATCCAGATTAGACATTGAAGTAAATTCGACATCTAATGCTGCAGCCCTTGCTGAGATTACATGATATCTCAGTCCCTGATTCCAGAAGGACCACTCACAGAATAACAGGTTTGCCATGAGCTAATTTTGAAAAAAGAGACTCTTCGCACATCACAGAGTAGGGATTCCTTTTTTATTTTTAGTTATCCTATCCATTTCATATTTGTAAACCACATGAAATAATATTAGTTACCTAGACAACTGCCTGAGAGTAGTATCTTTCCAGGTGTTTAGCTTCCAAATAACTGGTCTCCTAAATATAAGCAACAGGATGACACATACACAAAGCAAGGTTTCTGCCACTTTTAAGACAATGAAGCCAAAGCAGTATTGGTTATGCTAGATGTGACTTTTATGACTCATTACAATAAACATAGCAGTTGAGCAGGAAAAGCTTCTGAAATCAAAGCCTTTAAGGCAAGTGTGGAAATATCATGGACTTCACAGCTTGAGAGCAGTTGCAGAGATCTGTTAAGTAGCTCCAGCAGAAAATAATGAAGTGACAAGTGTCACACGTTCCGATATCTTTCCTTTTTCTCTTACATTCACAAGGCATTTCCTTGTCTTTGAACATGTGAGAGTTTTTTGTTTGCTTATGTACAGTGAAATTCGATAGCACAAAAAGCCCTTTATTATGGCAAGAAATTCTAAACCCAAGCACTGAAAACCAGTGGTATCTTATTTTAGTTACTTGCTAAAGCCTAATACATTGCATGTCCGCTTTTTATAACAATGGGAGATAGAATTGGAGATGTAAATTTTTAGAAAAACAGCTGTTACAAGACAGTAAATCATTATACTGTAGGAGACAGAATACCAACCAGCCAACATGTAAGGGAAACTTCCCTTGAGACCTATATTGCTACTCTTGTGCTTAAAGGGTTACCAAGTTTTAAGTTATATTTAAGCAGTCACCTGTTTATCACAATAGAGCGATTTTTATAAGTATCTTAAAAACTAACCCATCTTTTTTGCATATTGTGGTGTGGGACTTGAATTTGTCTAAATTAATTGGTGAACTCCTTTAGATAGGCTCAGCTCTGAGTAGGTGGGGTGGGATTCAGCTCAAGTTTTAGTCACCTAAATTTAGTCTAAATGTAGGTACCTACATAAGAGTTAAACATTTGAACATTTGTTACGGGCAGTGGAGGTCTAGGGCTTGGTTCAGTTACCCACCCCAGGGTCCAGGCATGTGTGGGATGCCCGAGTACGTGCGTGCAGCTGGCAGATATGACAGAGGACCTATGGGAGACCTGTTCCTTTCTTCAGTGGCAGCTGGAGGCCAGCAGGATATCCAAAATACTTAAATGACACTAAGTATCTACATTTAAACAACTGGTTTGTGGCGGTAGCCATTGCAGTCAATGAAGGTTAGAGCAGGAACTGGCTTTGGGTGAGGTGGATTGCTCTCAGCTGTTTTAATTGTGACCAGTACCTGCTGATTTAAATGGTTTGTTCAAATGTGGATTCCAGCATTTAGATTAATAAATTTAATTGCCTTTAATTCAAGTAGTATCCTGTCCTGGATGTTTGCCTACAGTGTTAAACTACCGTCAAGCTTTTCCCAGTTCATCAAGGTTGGGTAACCGAGTAGGTTTCAGCCTGTGTGGAGCACAGCTCAGGAACTGAGGTGCAAACAAACTGGCTGCTGAGGAGTGGAGATTTTCAGGTTCTCCGCCCCTCTCACCGATCAAATAAACAAACCCCACCCCAAATAGGTTATTGGCCATGGAAGTGAACAAGCAGAAGTTATTAATCACTCCTTGAGAGAAAACAGTTTCTTGCTTGCTGCCATCTCCTGGCTGCCCTCTCCTTGCTCCTCCACCCCAAAAGAGTGAGGATCTAAGTAGGACAATATGCAGGAAACACAAATTCCCGGGTTACTACACTGAGTGCTGTATTTGTGATTACCAGGAGGTGGGTGGAATATGTTTGATGTTGCAAGCAGCTCCATGGCGATTGCTGTATTCTGTGGCCAAAGTGCCTGAAAAGCTCAGGGAGGGAGAAAGAATCATGGACAGGACCTGGAGGGGTATCATGAAATCCACTACTGCAGGCTAAGCAGTCCCAGCATTGCTGGGAACAGAAAAGCCCCTGGACCGGAGGATGATGGCTATGTGGTATTTTGAAGGATGGGACTCCTAACTGATGGGAAAAGCTATAAACTATGCTGGTGGGTAATGGGATTGTTAGTCGCGTAGATAGCTGGGCTTGGTGATGCAAACAGGACCTAGCAGTGTGCTGGGAGCAGCTGGTGTATCAGGTGAAGCACCTCGGCAGTCCTAGGGACTTGGGAGAGGAGGTGATAGCTGTGGGGCGGGGGGGTGCCAGGGAGGGTGTGATGGAGAGGAGGCAAGCACTGGAGGCAAAATGGAAGCTGTCAGGTAGAAGCTAAAAGACCAGGAGTCCAATGGTAAAATTGTCCAAAGTGCTGTCGATACCACACTCAGTATCAGACAGAGAGGCCTTTTTACCTCCAGGCACCTTCATGTAGAAAGTTGTATTAAAAAGAGAGAGATGTCTATTATTTATGAGCCGAGGAACGTTTGAAATAAAAAGATCCTTTGTTTTCTAAACCAAAACAAAAGCAGGCTGCTGACATGCAAATCAAGAGATTATGGAGTAGTTTCTAAACAAAGAATTAGGGGAAAACTGGCAAGGTGAAATAATACACAGTATAGGACAGCACAGCCTTTACAGGTGACATCAGTGATCACTGCATCCTCAAATGAAAGAGATGGCATATGTCAGAAACTTGATCGAAGGAAGATAACCAGTGGAGCATAACCAGTGTATCACCATTGTGCAAGCTGCACAGGAGTAACAGAAAAGATTGTACCAGTGAAAGAAGTTCTCTAACGTATTAAAGAAGAACTAAGAGCCAAATCGGATAAACAAATTGACTGTGTCATCAAATGTCACAGGATCCGTGGACTAGAATGCCATGTCTAAACAGGAACAAATATAGTGACAGGATTAAATTATGAACCATCTGAGATCACCAGGATGGTGATAGTAAATGTGACAAACCAAGGAAACCAGAGAAGTTTCAAGGGCAGCAAGCGCAGTCATAAAAGGAGACTTAAATTGCTGTCCTGTGGGTTAAGCGTTGTAATTGGGGCACAGTGCTACGTTTTTAGGTGTACCATAAATAACTCCTCGGTGCCACTGATCAGGAGACCTACAGGAGGGAAACAGTTCTTCAACCGTTCCTGAGGTGTGTGCAGGATCACAGATAAGAGCTACTCTGTAAGAGTGGGATGTGTCTCATCTGACTCTGTAGACTTCTAAGCTAAGCTAGGTGACCTTGTGTGGAAGAAACAGATAACTTAGGGTGCTGTTCATTGATCAAATACAGACAGGTAATGAATCTTGCCCTCTGTGTCCATAATGTACTCCGAGCCAATGTCCTTGCAGGGGTGAAAAGAGTAAAAAAATCCAAGACAGTATGTGTTTTAATTTAAAAGAGGGAAAGTAAATAAAAGTGAGAAGTCATTTATGTAACAAAGGAATTTAAAGGAGCAGAGAAAGGTGTTGAATGCTTGCAGGCAGGATGGAGAGTGTTCAAGGACAGCATATTAGATGCTTAGAGCAAATTCATGTCATCTGTCAAAACAGAATCTGGAAACACCAGAAATGGGTTCTGTCATTAAACACAGGGGAAAAGAATCTATCAGAAGGGAAAAAAAAAGGCATCCTTCGGATTGTTGAATTGTATCCAAATAGAAAAAAAAAAACCCTCTAGCAATTTTA